ATGGTGGTCTGCACGTTGGAGGCGGCAGGCTTCTGCTGGCTGGATCTCCGCTTCTTGACCACCACGACACCTTTGTAGTCAGTTGCCGTCTCCATGCCCACAGTCTTGCGGTGAATCAGCCCCTTGTAGGAGTGGGCCTTCAAGTGATTGGGCTCGGCACTGTAGGTCTGTCTGCTTGTCCCTCTTGATCAGGAAACTGGAGCAGTTCGGCACGACGATACATTGCAGATTCGCAGACATGACGGCGGCTCCCCTCGCAGGGGCGTCCTGACACAAAGATAATTTTATTTATTTATTTATTTATTTATTTATTTTTGAGATGGAGTTTCGCTCTTGTTACCCAGGCTGGAGTGCAATGGTGCGATCTCGGCTCACCGCAGCCTCTGGCCTCCTGGGTTCAAGCAATTCTCCTGCCTCAGCCTCCTGAGTAGCTGGGTTTACAGGCACGTGCCACCACGCCCAGCTAATTTTTGGTATTTTTTTTTTTTTTTTTTTTTTTGAGACGGAGTTTCGCTCTTGTTACCCAGGCTGGAGTGCAATGGCGCGATCTCGGCTCACCGCAACCTCCGCCTCCTGGGCTCAGGCAATTCTCCTGCCTCAGCCTCCTAAGTAGCTGGGATTACAGGCACACGCCACCATGCCCAGCTAATTTTTTGCACCTTTAGTAGAGACGGGGTTTCACCATGTTGACCAGGATGGTCTCGATCTCTCGACCTCGTGATCCACCCGCCTCGGCCTCCCAAAGTGCTGGGATTACAGGCTTGAGCCACCGCGCCCGGCCTAATTTTTGGTATTTTTAATAGAGACGGGGTTTCACTATGTTGACCAGGATGGTCTCGATCTCTTGACTTCGTGATCCACCCGCCTCGGCCTCCCAAAGTGCTGGGATTACAGGCTTGAGCCACCGCGCCCGGCCTAAAGATAATTTTTGTATTTTTAGTAGAGGCGAGGTTTTGCCATGTTGGCCAGGCTGGTCTCAAACTCCTGACCTCAGATGATCCACCCACTTCAGCCTCCCAAAGTGCTGGGATTACAGGTGTGAGCCATGCATCCGACCTTCTTTTTTCTTTTTAAATTTAAATGTATTATGAATTGTAGAGATAGGCTCTCACCATGTTAACAGCCTGAACATAATGCTGGTCTTCTGGGCTCAAGCGATCCGCCTGCCTCAGCCTCCCAGAGTGCTGGCATTACAGGCATGAGCCACTGTAACTTGCCAAGATGTTTACTTTTTGGAACATACCTGAAGGATATACTTCATGGAATGGAATTACTAGGTTGAGGGATATAATCATTTAAACATTAGATGCTGGCTGCATGTGGTGGCTCATGCCTGTAATCCCAGCTCTTAGGGAGGCTGAGGCAGGAGGATTGCTTGAGCCCTGGAGTTCCAGACGAGCTGGGGCAACATGGTGAGACCCTATCTGTACAAAATATTTTTAAAAATTAGCCCAGTTGTGGATGTAGTGGCATATGCCTGTAATCCCAGCTACTCAAGGGACTGAGGCAGGAGTATTGCTTTGAGCTCAAGAGGTTGGAGGCTCCAGTAAGCCAGGATTGCGCCACTGTACTCCAGTCTGGGTGACAGAGCCAGAATCTGCCTCAGAAAAATAAAAATTAGATGCACATTGTGAAACTGCCCTCTAGAAAGGTCACCCCAGTGTATCCTCTCATCAGTCATACAGAAGCCTGTCTGCTTCCTTGTATTTTCACCAGCACTGATGTCCTAGTCAAACTTTTGTGTTTGCAGATCTGATACGTGAAAAATAGTATCTTCTGGTTTTACTGATTTGCATTACTCCAGGCTGGAATGACCCTGTGCATCTCTTCCTATGTTTACTGGGGAGAATCATTAAGATTTTGAGATGAATGCATAAATAGTCATGGGTGGGTGAGCATTCCAGGGGGAGGCACCTATGCAAATTGCAAAGGCAACGCATGGTGAGGGGTTATTTAGGAAAGATTTATTCAACAAATCCTTACTGTGCACTTACAATATTTAAGTTGCTGTGAAGCTGCAACACCATACAAGAAACCTTCTAAGAGATGCTTGTGTTCCTTATCAGGGTTGAAAATTCTAGGTGGCCTCAGGCGAGTTTTCAGAGGGGAGCCTCAGAAGTTGAGGATCTGGGTGTTGATCCTGATCTTGTTGGGCGTATCAGCATTTCTTGGCAGGGCTTTGGAGGATAAGGAGGCTGAGATAGGGATGAGGGAAGGCAGAGATAGGGATGAGAGATCAATAACACATTCTTGCATTGTTGTTCAGGCTGGATTGCAGTGGTGTAGTCATAAGTTGTCTGCAGCCTTGAGCTCCTGGGCTCAAGCAATCCTCCTACCTTAGCCTCAGTAGTTAGAACTACAGGTGCATACCACCACATCTGTCTCATTTTTTTATTTTTTAATTTCATTTTTTTGAGGTAGGATCTCGTTCTCTCACCCAGGCTGGAGATCAGTGGCATGATCATAACTCACTAGCTTAGAACTCCTGGGCTCAAGCAATCCTCCTGCCTCAGCCTCCTGAGTAGCTAGGACTACAGGAGCATGCCACTTTGCCTGGCTAATTTTTTTTTTTTTTTTTTTTTTTTTTGAGACGGAGTTTTGCCCTTGTTACCCAGGCTGAAGTGCAATGGCGCGATCTCAGCTCACCGCAACCTCCGCCTCCTGGGCTCAGGCAATTCTCCTGCCTCAGCCTCCTGAGTAGCTGGGATTACAGGCACGTGCCACCATGCCCAGCTAATTTTTTGCACTTTTAGTAGAGACGGGGTTTCACCATGTTGACCAGGATGGTCTCGATCTCTTGACCTCGTGATCCACCTGCCTCGGCCTCCCAAAGTGCTGGGATTACAGGCTTGAGCCACCGCGCCCAGCGCAGCCTGGCTAATTTTTGAATTGTTTTGCACAGACAGGTTCTCACTATATTGCCCAAGCTGGTCTGAAACTCGTGGCCTCAAGCAATCCTCTTACCTTGGGCTCCCAGAGTGCTGGGATTACAGGCATGAGCCACCGCACCCAGTTTGGTTTTATATTTTAAAATAGAATACATCTGGCCGGGCGCGGTGGCTCAAGCCTGTAATCCCAGCACTTTGGGAGGCCGAGGCGGGTGGATCACAAGGTCGAGAGATCGAGACCAACCTGGTCAATATGGTGAAACCCCGTCTCTACTAAAAATACAAAAAAAAAATTAGCTGGGCATGGTGGTACGTGCCTATAATCCCAGCTACTCAGGAGGCTGAGGCAGGAGAATTGCCTGAACCCAGGAGGCGGAGGTTGCGGTGAGCCGAGATCGCGCCATTGCACTCCAGCCTGGGTAACAAGAGCGAAACTCCGTCTCAAAAAAAATAAATAAATAAAATAAAATAGAATACATTTTAGAATAAAGTAATACAGAGTCCTGACAGATGTGTAGAATTTAATGTGTCACAGCAGAAGGGATGGGTGCATTTAACATATGACACATGCAGGTTTGTGGGTTTCAAGCAGAAGTATCTGCCTATATATTTTTTTTTATGTATTGCTTCTAGAAGGTGGATCAAATTTCATAGTGACTGTAATTATGGCTCTTAATTGTAGCTAGCATTTGTTTAGCTTCCAGCCTGGTGCTGTACTAGAGGCTCTGCATGTGTCACTGTTAGTACTGGAAGGTAGGTCTTATATTATCACCTTTGTTTTCCTTGTAGGGACTGGGACAGAGGCTAAATGACTTGATTAAATTTACAAGAGTAGTCAATGGTAGAGCACTGATTCATCTGGGTCTTTTAAACTCTGGCATCCTGGTTTTTCCCACTATGCCATACACACTGGGTTTTTTTACAGTTATTATTTTTGAAATGGAGTCTCGCTCTGTCGCCCAGGCTGGAGTACAGTGGCACAACCTTGGCTCACTGCAACCTGTGCCTTCTGGGTTCAAACAATTTTTTTGCCTCAGCTTCTTGAGTAGCTTGGATTATAGGCCTGAGCCACCTCGCCTGGCCTAGGGCCCTTATAAGAAGAGGAAGAGGCCAGTAGCTCATGCCTGTAATCCCAGCACTTTGGGAGGCCGAGGCAGGCAGATCACTTGAGGTCAGGAGCTCAAGAGCAGCCTGGCCAACATGGTGAAACCCTATCTCTACTAAAAATACAAAAATTAGCCAGGTGTGGTGGCGGGCACCTGTAATGCCAACTACTTGGGAGGCTGAGGCAGGAGAATCGCTTGAACCCAGGAGGCAGAGATTGCAGTGAGCCGACATTGCATCACTGCACTACAGCCTGGGCAACAGAAAGACTCTGTCTGAGAAAAAAAAAGGAAAGAAAGAAAGAAAATACGGCTAGGCAAAACGGAAGAAAATTAAAATAATCCAAAGTGGTAACCGCTTTTAATTTTCTGGTGATTTCCCCTTTGTGCATGTGTGTGTCTGTGTCTGTGTCCTAGAGATATATATGTGTACCTGGGTGCATATGCTCACAATCTCTCTCTTTTTTTTTTTTTTTTTTTTTGAGGCGGAGTTTCGCTCTTGTTACCCAGGCTGGATTGCAATGGCGCGATCTCGGCTCACCGCAACCTCTGCCTCCTGGGTTCAGGCAATTCTCCTGCCTCAGCCTCCTGAGTAGCTGGGATTACAGGCACGCGCCACCATGCCCAGCTAATTTTTTGTATTTTTAGTAGAGACGGGGTTTCACCATGTTGACCAGGATGGTCTCGATCTCTTGACCTCGTGATCCACCCGCCTCGGCCTCCCAAAGTGCTGGGATTACAGGCTTGAGCCACCGCGCCCGGCCCACAATCTCTCAATAGATGTTTCCCAAGTATCCCAATAAACATGTTTTTCAGACGATGTAGTGACACAGGTATATTGACACTGGTGGTGGGTCTTGTGAACGTTTGTAGCTGTAAAATCATCAGAGCAGGCATAACACCTGGCTGTTACTATTCTTCCCTCTCAAGGCTCTACAGTTGCCTGGGGTGGGGCATGCTGACCTAGGAGTAGAAATTGTACTGATGTTCTGTGTTATTTTCTTCACAGCAGTTCTCAGCCCTAACAGAAGTGCTTTTCCACTTCCTAACTGAGCCAAAAGAGGTAAATAAAGCATTTTATGTTAGGGAGAGTGGGCCCATGTTCCCTGAGATGTTTAGAAAGTGAAGGCCTGGGTTTTTCACTGTTCCCCCTCTGCAGGTGGAAAGGTTTCTGGCTCAGCTCTCTGAATTTGCCACCACCAATCAGATCAGTCTTGGCTCGCTCAGAAGCATCATGAAAAGCCTCCTCCTGGTTCCAAATGGTGAGTAACCTCTCTTATCAGCTGTGGCCAGAGATACTACCTTGAACATTCCTTTAGTCTATGGAGTCTTTGAAGCATGCTCCTGGGATGGAGCCAGAGCATTTGGTAATGAGCCAGATATGGGTGGGACTCTGTCTCAGGAGGAGCCCAGGTAACAGGTTAACAGAGTATAGTGGAATAGCAAATGCCCTGTGGCACAGCATGCCTCAAAAGTTCAGTCTGCTTCCTCGGTTCTGTCCCCAGAGTGTCCTCTGGTCCTTTCTACAATAAGTATAGAAATTGAGAATAAGGGGCCGGGCGCGGTGGCTCAAGCCTGTAATCCCAGCACTTTGGGAGGCCGAGGCGGGTGGATCACGAGGTCAAGAGATCGAGACCATCCTGGTCAACATGGTGAAACCCCGTCTCTACTAAAAATACGAAAAATTAGCTGGGCATGGTGGCACATGCCTGTAATCCCAGCTACTCAGGAGGCTGAGGCAGGAGAATTGCCTGAACCCAGGAGGCGGAGGTTGCGGTGAGCCGAGATCGCGCCATTGCACTCCAGCCTGGGTAACAAGAGTGAAACTCCATCTCAAAAAAAAAAAAAAAAAAGAAGCCGGGCGCAGTGGCTTAAGCCTGTAATCCCAGCACTTTGGGAGGCTGAGGCGGGTGGATCATGAGGTCGAGAGATCGAGACCATCCCGGTCAACATGGTGAAACCCCGTCTCTACTAAAAATACAAAAAATTAGCTGGGCATGGTGGCACGTGCCTGTAATCCCAGCTACTCAGGAGGCTGAGGCAGGAGAATTGCCTGAACCCAGGAGGCGGAGGTTGCGGTGAGCCGAGATCGCGCCCTTGCATTCCAGCCTGGGTAACGAGAGCGAAACTCCATCTCAAAAAAAAAAAAAAAAAAAAAAAAAAGCTTCATTTTAAAAAATTATGAGATTCAAAGAACATTGTGAAATTGCTATAAAAGGTTCCAAATGCTTATTCTCAATTTCTTTTCTTTTTTTTTTTTTTTTTGAGACGGAGTTTCGCTCTTGTTACCCAGGCTGGAATGCAAGGGTGCGATCTCGGCTCACTGCAACCTCTGCCTCCTGGGCTCAGGCAATTCTCCTGCCTCAGCCTCCTGAGTAGCTGGGATTACAGGCACGCGCCACCACGCCCAGTTAGTTTTTTGTATTTTTAGTAGAGACGGGGTTTCACTATGTTGACCAGGATGGTCTCGATCTCTCGACCTCGTGATCCACCCGCCTCAGCCTCCCAAAGTGCTGGGATTACAGGCTGAGCCACCGCGCCCAGCCTTTTTTTTTTTTTTGAGACAGGATCTTGCTGTGTTGCCCAAGCTGGAATACAGTGGTGCAATCATAGCTCACTTCAGCCTCAGACTCCTAGGCTCAGGTGATCTTCCTGCCTCAACTCCCCAAGTAGCTGGTACCACAGGTATGCACCACCCTGCCTGGCTAATGCTTTTTGTGTGTAGAGACAGAGTCTCTCTGTTACCCAGGCTGGTCTAAAACTTCTAGCTCAAGCTGTCCCCCTGACTTGGCCTCCCAAAGTGTTGGGATTACAGGTATAAGCCACAATGCCCAGCTTCACTTCAAGTGTATTAGAAGTTGAGGCCTTAATTTGTTTGCTCCTGTTTGGTACTTTCCTGTATCTTAGTGAAATTTCTTCCTTTTGTCCTGTATTGTGCTCCTGAGGTTCTGGGGGCTTAAACAAGAACATTCTAGAGATTTTTCAACTTTGAAATTTTCTGATCCTCTTTTTTTGTAATTCTTGCCACCTTTGCTCTCATGGCTCGATAAGAATTTGAAGTCTTTTTTTTTTTTTTAGTTGGAGTTTCACTCTTGTTGCCCAGGCTGAAGTGCAATGGTGTGATCTTAGCTCTCCGCAACCTTCCTCTCCTGCATTCAAGTGATTCTCCTGCCTCAGCCTCCCAGGTAGCTGGGATTACAGGCGCCCACCACCATGCCCAGTTAACTTTTGTATTGTTAGTAGAGATGAGGTTTCTTTTTTTTCTTTCTTTCTTTTTTTTTTTATGACTGGTTTTCACCATGTTGGTCAGGCTGGTCTTGAACTCCCGACCTCAGGTGATCTGCCCGCCTTGGACTCCAAAGTGCTTGGATTACAGGCATGAGCCACTGCGCCTGGCTGGGATGAGGTTTCACTGTGTTGATCAGGCTGCTCTCAATCTCCCGACCTTAGGTGATCCAACCACCTCAGCCTCCCAAAGTGCTGGGATTACAGGCATGGGCCACTGCACCCACCCTGCACCACTGGGTGCAGTGGTGCAATCCTGGCTCACTGCAACCTCTGCCTCCTGGGGTCAAGTGATTCTCCTGCCTCAGCCTCCTTAGTAGCTGGGACTATAGGAACCCACCACCATGCTTGGCTAATTTTTGTATTTTTAGTAGAGACAAGGTTTTATCATGTTGGCCAGGCTGGTGTCAAACTCCTGACCTTGTGATCTGCCTGCCTCAGCCTCCCAAAGTGTTGGGATTACAGGTGTGAGCCACCGAGCCTGGCCAAAGTCTTTTTAATAGAGGAATACATTTTCTTTTTTTTTTTTTGAGACGGAGTTTTGCTCTTGTTACCCAGGCTGGAGTGCAATGGCGCGATCTTGGCTCACCGCAACCTCCGCCTCCTGGGTTCAAGCGATTCTCCTGCCTCAGCCTCCTGAGTAGCTGGGATTACAGGCATGTGCCATCATGCCCAGCTAATTTTTTGTATTTTTAGTAGAGACGGGGTTTCACCGTGTTGACCAGGATGGTCTCGATCTCTCGACCTCATGATCCACCTGCCTCGGCCTCCCAAAGTACTGGGATTACAGGCTTGAGCCACCGCACCTGGCCAAAAAAAAATTTTTTTTTTGTAAGACTAGTCAAGTGCAGAAGTGAGAAGGGGGAAAGAGTAGAAGAAGGAGTTCGATCTGTAACTGACTATGAACAATCAATTGAGATAACTCACTACCTTTGAACCAGCCTAAATATTTTTTTTTCTTGTACTATTTAGTATATAATTCTTTAAAACACCTGACTTCAGCCAGACACGATGACTCATGCCTGTAATCCCAGCACTTAGGGAGGTGAAAGAGGGAGAATCTCTTAAGGCCAGGAGTTTAAGAACAGCCTGGGCAACATAACCTCTACCTCTATAAAAAATAAAAAAAATTGGCTAGTATGGTGGCTCACGCCTGTAATCTCAGCACCTTGGAAGGCCAAGGCAGGTGGATCACTTGAGGCCAGGAGTTTGAGACCAGCCTGGCCAACATGACAAAACCCTGTCTCTACTAAAAATACAAAAATTAGCCGGGTGCGGTGGCTCAAACTTGTAATCCCAGCACTTTGGGAGGCCGAGATGGGTGGATTATGAGGTCAAGAGATCGAGACCATCCTGGCCAACATGGTGAAACCCCGTCTCTACTAAAAATACAAAAAATTAGCTGGGCATGGTGGCGCGTGCCTGTAATCCCAGCTACTCAGGAGGCTGAGGCAGGAGAATTGCCTGAACCCAGGAGGCAGAGGTTGCGGTGAGCCGAGATCGTGCCATTGCACTCCTGCCTGGGGAACAAGAGAGAAACTCTATCTCAAAAAAAAAAAAAAAATTACAAAAATTAGCCAGGTATGGTGGCACACGCCTGTAATCCCAGTTGCTTGGGAGGATGAGGCATGAAAATCGCTTGAACATGGGAGGCAGAGGTTGCAGTGAGCCAAGATTACATCACTGCACTCCAGCCAGGGCAACAGAGTGAGACTCTGTCTGTCTCTAAATAAATAAATAAATTTAACAGCATGGTGGTGCACACCTGTAGTCCCAACTACTTACCTGTCGTCTCAACTACTTCAGAGGCTGAGGCAAGAAGTTCCCTTGAGCCCAGGAGTCCAGGCTGCAGTGAGCCATGATTGCACCACTGGACTCCAGTTTGCACAACAGAGCAAGACCTTGTCTCTGAAAACAAACCAAAGAAAACCCTTCAAAAGTTACTAACCCATGGCCAGATTGATTCATGTGTACCCCACTCATGGCTCCTCACTGCTCTCTGAACTGGATGACTGTAGTATAGTTTAGTTTTAGAGATGTGGGGATCTTGCTGTGTTGCTTGGGCTGGTCTCTGACTCCTGGCCTCAAGCAGTCCTCCTGCCTCAGGCTCCTGAGTAGCTGGAATTACAGGTATGGGCAACATGTCCAGTGCAAACTGGATTATGTTAAAGGCAGTATAAGATGTATTATTTTATTCCTGAATATCTAGTTATCTATCTCCAAAAGATAAAAGGAATTTCCCCGTTATCAAACTATGATGCTATTATCGTATCTAAAAGGAAAAGACAAAGTCAGTAGTTATTTTCCATTGTCTCCTGCATTTTGTTTGGGTGGGTTCCATCAGGATTTAGATAGGACTCCAGTCCAGCACGTGGCTTCTGTGTGGCTCTCCTGTGCCTGTTCAGCTCTGAGACCTAATGGTACCTGAGAACTAATAGTAGACTCATACTTTTGTTATAAGGATAAAGATAATAAGTGTAATAAGATGCTCACTTCACTAAGTCATGGTGCACCGCTGCCGCTATTATGATTGTCATTATTGTTATGTGTTATTCCCTAGCCGAGATTATAGATAACTTAGCAGTGGGGCCCCTATTTAAGCCTGTTTTTAATTAACTTATTTATTTTTGATTAATTAATTTAAAAATTATTTTTATCATTTTTTTGGCTGACACCCAGTACTTTTATTAGTGGGGAAACTTGCCTTGTTCTAGCAGAGAGACTGGGATGGACAGGACTAGCGCTCATCTCGAGGGGTTATGTTCTGGAGGATCAGGTGTTCCTCCTTGTAGGTTTAGAGGAAACACCCTCATAGATGAAAACCCCCCGGAGAGCAGCGCTACAACTGCCAGGCAGTTGGGGTAGGAGGGGCACCCTAAGCATGGCTGGACTGTTGGGACAACAGGGCTTGAATGTCAGCCTCGATGTCAATGGTCTGGAAGCCCAGCTGTACCTGTGCACGGGGGCACCGGTAGGG